ACTGTGAAGAGGGCTTGGAGTTCAGCTTTCTCAGGGCTTGGTATGCAGGACGAAGGTCATTTACTAAGAAATGGCCTTCTACCTCCTCTGCAAGACTCCTAATAAACTGTTCCTTGTCCCTTCTTAACAGGGACCGAGTTCTGCGCACAAGAGAACGGTGCAATTCCCGATCCCCTGTCAGAGGAGCCGCACGACATGCATCTGTGGTTCCAGTGTCTCCTGCGAGATGGAATTCTGTACTGCTCTCGGGCGTACACCAATCGTATCTTGAGCTGCATCAAGCGTTTCACGCTTAAAGGTATCCCACAGAAGAACAGGGTCTGTCAGACTGCCAAGCACTGCGAAACGATCAGAGATTGCCTCAGCAAACCCGCGGGCACACTCCCCCTCCCTCAGCCTGTCCAAATGAAACACCCTAGGGTGATCATTTGACCGCTGGGGGTTTTGAAGTGGACCCGGAGGGTAGCCACAACCAAACTATGGTCAGTACCACAGAACTCAGCACTCCTGTACACCCTGCAATTCTGAAGGATCCTCCAGCGAGTGCTAACAAGTATGTGGTCGATCTCCTTGGCTGCGTTACCCGCATCACTGTACCATGTCCAGCGATGTGGGTCTGGGCGCTGGTACCAGGAGCCAGAAATCCTCAATTTCTGGGACCTAGTAAAGTCCCGGAAAAGGAGGCTATTCTCGCTACCGGCATCAACTCCTGAACCATGGGGACCGACAGACATCTCATAGCCAGCTCGATCACAGCCCGATACCGCATTGAAGTCGCCCAGAACAATGTGAATATCTCGTCGGGGACATCTGTCTACCACAGATGTAAGTTTGGAGTAGAACATCTCTTTCATGTCAAGTTTACAAACATCGGTAGGAGCGTACACAGCAATAAGAGACATGAAGCCAAAAGATAGCTTCAATCTCAATGCCATTATACGCTCATCAACAGGAGTAACCTCTACTACCGAGGGCTGGAGTCTGCTGGAGATGGCAATGGCTACTCCCTGGAGATGGTGGCCATCACTGCGGCCCGACCAGTAATAGGTGTAGCCACCTACACAGGTCATGCCGCTGCCAGGCCTCCTCACCTCCGAGAGAGCAGCCACCTCAACTCTCAGCCTCCTCAGTTCCCTCGACAGTAGAGGCAACCGATGATCCTGACGCAAAGAACGGACGTTCCAAGCCCCCACCCTAACTTCCCACCTGAGGTTCAGCCTCTGGCAGTCGCTCCGGGTGGATGCCACCTCTGCCACCCCCACCGACGCTGCCCCATATAAAAGGGGGTGGCGGGCTGCGTGCCCCATCATCCACCTGTGGGGTTCCCGAGGGCTTTCCCCCACAAGCTTCACTCTGGGCTGGCGGACACCAGAGCGCAGGCGAGACGGGTAGTTCCCGTTCCCAGCCTGCGCTCCAGCAGTCGCCCTCCCAGCAGGGCCCACAGTCCGCCTCACCTGCTGGGTGAGAGAGCTTTTCCCCTCCTCCCAGCCTTTCCATTTAATTGTGGCACTGCCGATTGGTTTATATCTGGGGGGAGGAGGACTGGCAAGGCCCACCACCCCCGAGCCTCCCATTAACCCCAGGGGGCTAGGGGGCAGGAGTTGGTACAGGGCCAGGGCGTGTCCACACGCCGGTGGGCCATGGCCCTGAACCTCTGGGGCCTCCTGCTGCTCCGAGATCCCCCTCAGTTTAGCCTGGAACCGGAAGGTACCCAGTTTCCATGGGCGGCCACGAGGAGGCACTGCAGGGAGTCTCGATGATGGAGAGGTTATGCACTGGCAGGGGGAGGCTTATGCAGAGCTGCTCCCTTTTTCGCACGAGGCTAGCCAGCGGTGGCAGCTGTAAGCGAGAAGGCATGCAGAAGCTCTTAACACAAACTAGACTACCACTCCATCGCTTCACACCACCCTGCGCATGAAGCACCCACCCAGCGAATTCCAGCGAACCATAAATGACATATTTCAGCCCTAGAACAATTAGTACAACATTACAATTTGTATTTTTATCAATTATAGCGTTATTGTGTATACATGAACCAATCGTGGACTACTGAATAAGGCAACAAGTGTAATATTCCAATATAATTGTGATTTGCTTTTCCCGATAGTTTAAAGTAGGCGTATATGTAAACGGTGCGGTCTTCGCCTCGGATGTAAAAGTTTTATTCATATATTTTTTGTTGTTGTTATTGTTAATGTCAGTCTTAAGATTATTGTTAATTCCTATTCACTAAGAATCTTGCACATTTCTTCTGCGTTACTTATTCTGAAACATATTAGTTAAAAAGTTTTATCATGCCACGGGCTGGACACATTGTGTTTACAAAATCAGCTGATTGCCATTTACGGCTTGTGATTGGCCACGATTCCCTAAGCGCCGCCTGAAACAGCAGCTGTAATTGGCTACCGTAGATCCGACGCCTCCAGTGATTTACGGCGTTGCAGTCCGAGATACGACGCAGGACGGTCAATGCCCCCAAAGTATTTGAAGTATTATATAC